TGTGGTAGAGTCGTGGTATGAAGTTTTTGAAATCATTTTGGTATGAAGGTTTTGAAATCAATCCCATACTCTTGGAGAAATCTAGGGGCTATTGGAAAAGAGGGCTTGGCTCCTTCTAAATATACTGAAACTTTTACCTATTTTTAATTAAGTATATATAATTCTTCGACCGAAATGATTTTAATGAAATTTTTGTCCTAAAGTCCCTGTATAGTTTAGGTTCACAACGCGGTAGTGGCAATACTATTGAAAACAAAAGCCGCATGGTGGCGCTGGAGTCGAGTTATTGCTAAAAATCATCAAGTGAAGTCATTCGGAGACAGCAGGGATCAAAATAAAATTACCACCAATAAATCTACCACCACAGCCATTGCGGTCCTTGCTTTACGGCGACTAAACAAAATAAAGACAAATCTTGATGAATGCATACAAATTCAATTGTAATTCATTTATGGTATTTCGTCTGAAATAAGTCTATATATATTGGATTTTTGTAGACCAATGATGTTCTCCCATTTTGAAATTGCTACCACCTTTTCTATATAGATTCCAAGACGATTCACCATCGAGCCGGATCATTATTTCCGCAAGAACTTCTTAGTGGACATAACACTTTCGTTAGGTTACTTAAGACGGCAATGGAGGGTGGGTATGCTTTCTGACGACCACAAAACCAAACGTGAACGTGAATTGTGGTGAAAAATAATAAATTTTGGGCGGGACGAAGTTCGCCGGGTCTGCTAGTTTATATTCCCAGAGTGGACAACGGTTTCGGTTACACTATTTATAACCAGTCTAGAACTTTCATGCTCATTCAGTCCGCTATGAGTGCCCATTAAACTAACCGAAAGTCAGGCAACCCTCCAGGGGTGGCTTTGGCGCCACAAGGATTTTTAAGGATGCCGAAAAACACATCAATTACACTATTTTAACCAATCTGGCATTTTGGGACATTAGAGTTGGTACTTCTCCGAAACCGATAAAACAATCGCCAGACTGGTAGGGCGGTGAAAAGAGGATGCCAGACGCGTGAGGACTATTTACACTATAATAACCAGGATAAATTTTATGAATTATCATAGGGTGAATCCTCGGGAGGCTATATGTTTCAAGCCAGACGAAATTTAGTGGCTATGCAGGCGCTCAAATCACCTTGTTTCTTACTAATTTTTAATATACTTTGTTGACGAAATGAAGAAGTATAGGAAAAAATGCTATAATAAAGTAGAATAATTTAATTATTTTCTCTGGCTTAAAAGCAAGACTGTCGTTGGAAATTAAAGCAAAGTACAACAATTTTACTTTCCTTCTTAGTGATCCCACATCGTCAGCGTTGCACAAAATAACAATACGCTTTGCATTAACTACAGCAACAACCACATCTACATACATGTACATACTTACACACTGCCAACAGGCAGTCGAGTGCATACAAAGTGAAATGTTGTGATTCTATAGTGTAAAGAAGTTTAGAGCAGTGGGTGGGCCTCAACAAAAGATGCGGCGGCAGTGTTGCGAAAAAATAAAAAATAAATGCTTCGTCACCTCATAATAAGTAAGAATTCATAAAATGTACTTAGTTAACTTAAGCCACAGCAGCAACAATATGTCAATGCAATCACTCAAAAAAAAAATATTAT